TGCAGTGGTAGTGGTGCCATCATAGCTACTGCATCCTCAAACTCCTGGGCTCAAGTGATCCTCCTGCCTCAGTTTCCTGAATAGCTAAGACTACAACAGGTGTGGCACTAGCTAAGATTTAAAACATCATAGAGACAGGGTCTTGCTATGTTGCCCAGGCTGTTCTTCAACTCCTGGCCTCAAGTGATCCTCCCACCTTGGCCTCTCAAAATGCTGAGATTCCAAGCGTGAGCCACCATGTCCAGCCTCAAACTAAATCTTGAATGAAACCTGAAAATGAAAATGATGAACGTGGAATTAATCTGGTGTGAAACTTGTTGGGAACTCCCACTTCTTCTCAACCTGCTCTTCACCCTACCTCCTCCTCCTTCCTTGAAGTTGGGGGACAAGGGAGGAGGAGAACCATAGCCATTCAGCCTCTCTTTGGTCTCCTTTATACTCCAAAGGCTTTGAGCAGCATGGTTTAAAAACTACTAGTGGCCAGGCATGGTGGCTCATGCCTGTAATCCCAACACTTTGGAAGGCCAAGGGAAGCAGATTGCTTCAACTCAGAAGCTGGAGACCACCTTCGACAACGTGGCAAAAACCCATCTCTATAAAAAGTACAAAAAAAAAAAAAAAGCCAGGTGTAGTGGTGCACCGGTAGTCCCAGCTAATCAGGAAGCTCACATGAGAGGACTGCTTGAGGATCCTGGGAGGTGGAGGTTGCAGTGAGCTGTGATGGAGTCTCTGAACTCCAGCCTGGGCAATAGAGCCAGATCCCGTCTCAAAGCAAAACGAAACAAAACAAAACAAACAACAAAACTACTAGTGAATCAAACAGAGCGGATTCTGGAAAACAGGAGACCTGGGTTTGAATTTTGGATAAAATCAGTACATTTTTAGGGGATTCAGTTTTCTCATCAGTAAAATGGAGATGATTCCTACTTGATATGGTTGTGAAGGATTAAATAAGGTATGCAAAAGCACAAAGCAATATATAAATATTAGTTTCTGTTTTTTGTTTTGTTTTGAGACAGGGTCTCACTCTGTCATTGGTGTGCAGTGACACGATCTCAGCTCACCACAACCTCCGCCTCCCAGGCCTGAGATTCTCCTACCTCAGCCTCCCCAGTAGCTGGAATTGCAGGCATGCACCACCATGTCCGGCTAAGTTTTTGTATTTTTAGTAAAGATGGGGTTTCACCATGTTGGCCAGGCTTGTCTCGAACTCCTGACCTCAAAAGATTCACCTGCCTTGGCCTCCAAATTGTTGGGATTACAGGCGTGAGCCACTGCACCCGGCCTGGTTTGTTTCTACATAGCCTTGATTTGGAAAGGAGAGGCCCAAGTGGCAATGAGATGTCAGACAGTATATGCTGCATCCTGGTAGCCAAGAGGACTTGCAGAAAAATCAGGGAAGGTGACCATGGGCAGTGTCCAGAGGTCAGCAGCTAGAACACTGAAGTTAAACAAGTTATGTCAGAGTAAGCACTGTCCTTCAACTTTGAAACAATCACCAAATTGCAATTAAGAAATTTTGTTTTAGAGGTTTCTGGGGAGACCCAGTAGAATATAAAACATTCATAAGGAACCAGTATCTGTCAAAATCACTGCTGTATGCCCAGAGCAGTACAGGGACTAGGTGCGTAAATAAATTAGGAGGGCGTCATGAGGAAAATGTACCAAATTACTGTAACAAAAACATTTTGTTAGTGCTTGTGGCTATGCCTTACCGGGGATCCAAATATAGTTCTCTTAGAGTAACACAGGTCTTGGTAATTTCATTTCATATGCCATACTAGTTTCATTTTGGACTTTAACAGTAAATGTCAAACTCCTCAACTTCACAGGCAAAACAAGCATACACTTACAAGATCTCTCGATCTAACTTTCAACATGTCTTTACACTTCATACCATTGATGTACAAAAATATTCCTATCAGGAATGTTGGGTCTGTTGTAAATGTGAATTGATTTACAAGAAAATATTTTAAAATCATGTGCAAGTTTTCTTTCAGACTTAATTATAATCCACACATTTCAAGCTCCTACGGAACTATCAATAGCGCCAATTGTACCATGTCCGCAGCATCCATTCTGAAAGATTGCTTTTCACGACCTGGGTATTTCAGGCTGCTGCAAATAAAGGAGACTGCTAGCTACAGCCACACCCTCCCGTATCAAGCACGTAGCTGCCTCTATCTTTAGAAACGTTAAGTCACAATATTGCAGGTGCTACCCATTTTTACTTCATATGGCTTCTACAAGTTGATGGTAATCTGAATTTATAGTAGTTAAGAGACTGAGTTCATTCCTCCCCTCCATTCCCCACTTCCACTCCTGAAACACCAGTAGTTTTTATAATAGACTTGGTGCAACTCTGAAGTAAATAATGTGGTAGAATACAACTGCAAATAATGGTCAAGTCTAGGTTCATGAATCTGAACCCTCTTATGTTCCTTTTGCCACTGGAAAGAGTATTTATATCTATTTTGGATGTTCCTGAAGTTCCAGCTTTCTATTAAGGTGAAGGGCCACATTTCACTGCCCAGTGAATTTTAAAAGCATTACAAAGCACACCCTTCCCTTTTGGAAACTGGACATTTGGAAACTCTATGCTCTTGAGTCATGGAGCTGGACATCCTCAGGCAGTTTTGCAAAATGATCACTAGCAAGGCCTCTTGGCCCCTTCTCATGTATTTATGGATATCAAATAACTCATGCAACTATGTTGGCCTTTCAATGACCTCGAGTATTGCTTATGAGAACAGAAATCTTAATAGCACAGAGATGCACAGTACCTTCTCATCATTTGTTTCTGTAGCTTTATTTTGCTGAAAAGAACAGCAGTTTTCATCGGAAAACATCTTTTCCTCTTTTCAATTAGAGAATCAAATATTAGAACAAATTTTTGTAAAATGTATATGAAAAAGAAACAGAATTATGGACTTTGTATCTCTCTCTCAAACTATTACCTAGGCCTCTATATGAGGTGACAGTTTGAAAGATACAAAGTTCATAATTCTGTTTTTCATATACATTTTACAATTAAAATATTTATACTTTCTAGTCGTTCTAACTAGAAAAAATACTTTTTTTTTTACTTGTCACTTAAAATTGGTTTTCCCAAGCTTACTTCAGCCACATGTTAATGACCTACCTTCCCCTGCCTCCTTTTTAAGAAAAAAAAGTGAAAACAAATTTTGATAAGTCTTTGGTAGAGTAAACCAAGGTCTTCAAAATTATAATATTCCAGTTAATTGAAAATGCCTAGATATGATATTATTCTTTTTAAAATCTCCTTAAGGTTGGGCAATCTGATAGATCCTAATTCAACTCTCCGATTTTGCAAGTGAAGTAAAATTAATTTATAAGACTTTGGGCCAGTGAGTAAAATTATATTGGGCCTCAAGTTCTCTAGTCTCTAGCTTCAATGCGCTTCCAACTACAGCAAGATTACTAGATTGTTCAGTAATGCAAAAACAAGACAAAAGAGCTCCAATGGCATCTTAATGTATGCATATCTGACAAATATCTATGAAATCACCCCCAAGGTAATACTTTAAAGTAGGTTTTTATATATTTTATATGATAAAATGAGGAACTCAGATACTCCAACACTTCTAAATGTCACATCCAAAAGTTTGAAATTAATATTAGCATTCTATAAAGGTATTTCAGTGAAAATAAGAATTATGACTAAGCCAAGAACTTCCAGTTTTTATTTTTTAAACATCATTTAACAAGAAAAACATTCAACCAAATTAAAAAGAATTAGATTGGATTAATTTACAATAAAATAATCAACTTAAAATATCAGCCCTTCCATTTAGGGCCAAGGAGGCCAATGGTTCCTGTTTAAACAGCAGAATTGCACAATTATTTTTACTTATATTTAATGGCACACAAAAATAAAAGTTTTACCACTTCCACTGACACCCTCCATTCCCTCCAGAGTAGAATTCATACAATTGCATCTTAGGTCAGAACTCAGGCTTTTAAAAATTATCTTGGCTGGGCACAGTGGCTCACGCCTGTAATCCCAGCACTTTGGGAGACCAAGGCGGGTGGATCACAAGGTCAGGAGTTCGAGACCAGCCTGACCAACATGGTGAAACCCCATGTCTACTAAAAATACAAAAATTAGCCGGGCGTGGTGGCACGTGCCTGTAATCCCAGCTACTCAGGAGGCTGAGGCAGGAGAATCGCTTGAACTTGGGAGGCAGAGGTTTCAGTGAGCTGAGGCTGCGCCACTGCACTCCAGCCTGGGTGACAGAGCGAGACTCAGTCTCAAAAAAGAAATCATCTTACATTTTGAAATATAATACAACTACTCTGGTAACAAGAATACTTTTAAAACAATTCTTACAGAAAACAAATACCTTAGATAATCGTGTGGCACATTAGACTTCTCAAAGAAACAGCAAAGATGAAAAATAATGTACAAGAATTATAGTCCCTTGTTTATAGAAACCATCCAAATAAAATATTTCCCTAATTTTCCTTGCTTCTTATAATTTATTAGCAGAGATGAATTACAAGAAGCAGAATGCACCATTTTTTGGTTCTTGGTTGTAGCTGCCAGCTTAGTTCATGACTATAAATATAAAGCAAATATGATTATGCTCACAATTTCCGGAGTGGGAAAAAACCCAGATAGCTCTAAAATGTTTCTCTATCCTTGCTTTCAAGTCATGACAAAAAAATTCACAGCAGTTTAAAGGATGGTGAAAGACTAAACATAGGGCCCACTACAATAAAGATTCATTTTACCTATTACACTCCCATAGTAAAAACTGTAGTAAGTATGATATTATATTTAAGTAACATTCTATAGTAGGCTGTTGGAGCAAATACAGCATTTAACAGGTTCATTTACAGACCAGGCATGGTAGCCTTTAGACAGAACATCTTATTTTCACACTCTTGAACATGTAACCTTTAAAAAAACCAAAAGGAACAAGTAATTTATGACAGCTGGCCAGGCACTTAATTTGGGGAAAGAGAAGGATTTTGAGGTAAACTAGAATTATTTTCAGCAATCACAAACATGGCCTAAAAACTACTTTTTACACCACACTGAAGTTATTCAGCTTTTAAGTTTGTCACTCCTTTGTGCCAAAATTCACACTTAGGTCTAACTTTTTTTTTTTTTTTTTTTTTGACGAGTCTCGCTTTGTCACCCAGGCTGGAGTGCAGTGGCACGATCTCTGTTCACTGCAACCTCCACCTTCCGGGTTCAAGCGATTCTCCTGCCTCAGCCTCTCAAGTAGCTGGGACTACAGGCGCTGGCCACCGTGCCTGGCTAATTGTAACTTCTTAAAAAACTATTCAAGGAACATACTCAAGTCTGAATTTTGGCCCCATTTAGAAACTTCTGTGCTTAGAACATACTTGAGAAAACTGTAAGTACATACATACAAAGGCTCTTTATTGGCACAAGCGCCCAAGATGAGTAACTATCTTTCTCCCTAATTTGACATCAAATTTAAAAGGTTTTTAAGGAAAAAAAAAATCAAACTGCCAGTCACAGAAAAAAAACAACAACAAAAAACTGTTACGAAAATTAGAGTAACACTGCCCCAGAAGGAGCAGAAACAGAAAAGTAGAATTTCCGTTTACAAATGACAGTACTGTGAAAGCTCCCAGAATTAGCAGTAAGGAGCACAACTCTCCAGGTGAGTTATATTCTGGGCACAGAATATGTTTCTTCTTTTTTGAATTTCAAGGTAATATGACATTTGCTTAATAAATGAAAATTCATAATGTAGAAGATGGAGGACCTCAATAAGCATTTAGATATTAGAAGACAGGAACAACGTGGCCATTTTGGAATTAGTCTTTTATCGCAAGTTATCCAATCCTATTTTTCATGAGAATTACCAGGGTATTATCTGCAAATGAAAATGGCAAACCTCCAAATCCTCATAACTATCAATTAATTATATCTTCCATTCCTGTCTCAACAATTTCAGCTTCCTGTTTTGAACAAACTCATCAGCTCAGATTTATCAACATCTTGTTTTAAACCATTCAAAGAACATTATGAATAAAGAAAATTTAAAACATTTTTCAGCTGAGACATCCTCATTCTCAAATGAGAATATTGGTTTAATTTAGAGTTTCTACATGGCTAAAAGAAAAAAAAAAAGATTTAAATACATGATACCAAGTTTTCCAGTCACGGTAAAGGGCTTATGCTAACTGACCTCTTCTTTCCTTGCAGGACTAACTGCAGGCATCCAGCAAAATTACTAGCTGGAGTTACTGCTGCAATGAGCAAATGTAGAAGAATTTCTTTCTCTGTGATGCTAACTGGAGTTTTCAAGTTTTGAAACTATGACCCTGGTCCATTAGCACCGTGCTTTACTCAACTGCAATAATCAAGCCCCTATTGCTGTGGGGGGAGGTACAGAAGGTAGGGTGAGAAGGGGATTGAGGGCAATTATATACATCATTAAGATACCATGATATACAGTGAAAATGTAATTTGTTAATACACTATATTTGAGGTTTGAAAATCACTGGTCACAGCTATTAAATAACAATGCACCAAAGTTTTACAATATTTGAACACCTGCAAATGTAGAGCTTTCTGGTATGACCCAAATTTGAATACAAATAGAAATTCATTGAATATTAGGCTTATCAGTAAGCTAGAGGAAACAAATACATTTTATAGGTAGTAACCTATGAAAACAGTGGAGATTAGGTAAAAATTAAGTGAAATTATTCATACGCTTTCAGTTTCATCTTTCTCCTGGGAAAGACCCAAAACAGGGCTCTGGAAAACCAACTTTATACATGTACAAAATGGCATCTGCTCTCATATAGATATAGCTTTCCCTCAATGGTAGATAAGTCACAGACATATCTCAGACATTCATTTTCATGCATAAAGATTTTTGAGACATCGATTCCACTGAAATATTATAAAGGAAGTCTACAAACCACTTCTATAAAAAGGCACTTCACTGTGAAAGTTGGATTTAATTACATGAAAGCTGAGAAGACTAGGAGAGACTCAAAATTGTTTCATTTTTGTATTTATGAATCTAGAGCAGATGCCAGTTTAGAGAATACAGCCGATAACATTAAAAACAAACAGCAATAATAACTATATTCTTGGCAAAACAGTAATTTATGACATTTCTTCAAAAATTAGCATAGTTCTAAGTTCAACAGTAAAAAAAAAAAATCACCAGCAGTTGCTACCTTAGAGCTCAAGACACTGTTTTCAATAGAATTTCACGTTTGCAGTTTGGTTCTCTGTTTCAGACATGAACTGCTTTTCAGATGAAATGCCTGCAGTGGCAGAAGTGTGTTTGTGTTATGGAATAACCCAGGGCAGAAAAGTAACAGGGAGTAACAAGAGGTGCATTTCTCTGGTCAGACAGCCAAGTGAGGAGGTAGTTATTCTGAGAACTTTTCAAATAGAGAATATTGTACTAAACTACTGAGAGTTGGGGAAGTAGCAGGAGCTTCTCTGTGAGACTAAAGATAGCGACAGGAATACTTCTCCTCCAGGGAAGTCAGGACCAGGGCGTCAGTGCAGCTGAAATAAAAATGAAATTTGTGTAAGTGATACGTTCAGAGTATAATAAAAACAAGTATGCAAAATTACAGGAATGAGATACATTTCCAAACTACCTTGAAAGTGGCTCTTTTCTGATAGAACTTTAAAAGTATCTGTAAGAAAAGAACAAAAACCATGTCATTATTATCTAGTCTCAAAGTAGCGATCCTTCAAATTCCTGGTCACTGCCAGGAATAGGTAAGTCCGCATTTCATAATGCCTTATAATTTCTAATGTTATCAAAAATACAAAGATACCTGTAGAATAATTAAATGTTTTACATACTTTAGACCTCAGTACTTTCAGAAAGTGCCGTAAGGAAAATACGCAGAAGAGCATAGGCAGAAACTCAAATAACATACAGACAATAACACTAACACTCCTCCAAACTGCCCAAATACTAAGATTTATAATTATGCCGAAAAGCCATATGCTCACCTTGTTACATCACCACACAGGGCAATCCCATACAACCCTGAGTCCCATCATCACTGCTGTTGAGTTTTTTCATTCGGTACTGGCGTATCTCTCTCACCAGTGTGTAAAAAGCATCTTCAACACCCTAGAAAAAGAACAAATGAAAAACAACAACAACAAAAAAAAACGAGAGAGACTGCTCAACGGACACAATCCAAATTGTAGGCTCTCTCGCATTTGTACCTCCTCATGTGGACATAAGATTCCAATTCCTAAATGAATAGCTGATAAAATAAAATATGGTGATTTAAGGAAGAGAACACTAAATTTCACGTTCCTATTGAATCACATGAACAGGCTGATATAAAAATGGCACATTTTGTCAAATAAACACTCAGGCAAAGGAAAAGGGTAATGTGAGACATAAGGAACAGAACTACCAGATCTAAAGACTCCATTCAGGAGGCTTTAGCCCTAAACAGGGGCTGGTGTTGACAGAGAAAGAACTAATGTTTATCAATATTTTTAGTCAAGGATCTTCAGTAGAAATATCTGTGGATGTTAATGCAGGAGTAAACATGCCATACTAGAATATTACTAAGTTCATTTTGGGTTTAAACAAGTGATAAGAAAAAGAACACTATTAAAACATGCCTAACAACAGGCCAGGTGCTATAATCCCACATCTGCAATCCCAGCACTTTGGGAGCCCCAGGTGGGAAGATTGCTTGAGGCCAGGAGTTCAAGATCAGCTTGGGCAACATGGTAAAACCCCGTTTCCACTAAAAATACCAAAATTAGCTGGGCATGGTGGTATGCACCTGTAGTCCCAGCTACTTGGGAGGCTAAGGCAGGAGAATCGCTTGAACCCGAGACTCGCCTAAAAAAAAAAAAAGAAAAAAAATGCGTAACAACAAAGAATACGAATGTGGATCACATCTCCGTCAGAGTTAATCAACTGATGTTCTCTGCCTAGAGCAAACCCTTGCACAAGTGCTGAATGCTACACCATACCTGTCTGGTCTTGGCTGAGGTTTCAATGAATGGAATCCCGTAACTCTTGGCCAGTTCGTGGGCTTGTTTTGTATCAACTGTCCTTGTTGGCAAATCACACTTGTTTCCCACTAGCACCATAGGTACATCATCCGAGTCTTTTACTCGCTTAATCTGCTCCCTGTAAAAAGGAATATGTTATCAGAACATAAAAGAAACAAGATTAGTCTGAGAGAAGTGGCTCATTCCTGTAATCCCAGCACTTTGGGAGGCTGAGGAGGGCAGATGGCTTGAACTCAGGATTTGGACTAGCCTGGGCAACATGGCAAAATCCAGTCTCTACAAAAAATATAAAAATTAACTGAGTGTGGTGGCACATGCCTGTGGTCCCAGCTAATTGGGTGACTGAGGTGGGAGGATCACCTGGACCCAGAAAGGTCAAGGCTGCAGTGAGCCATGATTGTTCCACTGCACTCCAGCCTCGGCAGCAGGAAAAAAAGTAAGAAAAGAAAGTGAAGAAAAGAAAAGGGAAGAAAGAAAAGGAAAGAAAGGAAGACAGGAAGGCAGGCAGGAAGGCAGACAAGATTTCAGAAAGGAATGGCTACAGCAAACTAGCAAATATTATGTAGCTCTATTATCTTCTAATAGTTTCACTTTTTCCTGCTTGAGACTTGATGCAGCAGCCATCAGGAAGCCATAAGTACAAGTTCACCTTCTACTGGGAGTAGATGGGTATTTTATCCTGATACATGCCCTAGTTAGGCTCCTGGATTCTCCCAAAGCACTAGGCTCTGGATTTGGCAGCTAGAAATCACTCCTTAAATTAAGGTCTGAAGTATAAAAAGTAAAGCTCACTACTGCTAAATAACTAGGCATCACTTTTCAATATGGGTGGTGCTCAAACATTTTCCTCGAACAAACTGTACATGAAGCTGGGCATGGTGACTCCCCTAGAGTCTTAGCACTTTGGGAGGTTGAGGTGGGAGGATCGCTTGACCTAGGAGTCTGAGACCAACCTGGGCAACATGGTGAAACCTTGCTTCTACAAAAAATATAAAAATTAGCTGGGTATGGTGGTATGTGTGCCCATGGTCCCAGCTACTCGGGAAGCTGAGGTAGGAGGATCCCTTGATCCGTGAGAGGTTGAGCCCTGAGAGTGTCATGCCACTGCACTCCAGCTTGGGCACCAGAGCAAGACTGTCTCAAAAAAACTAAAACAAGCTGGGCGCAGTGGTTCATGCCTGTAATCCCAGCACTCTGGGAGGCTGAGGCAGGGGGACTACTTGAGGTCAGGAGTTCGAGACCAGCCTGGCCAACATGGTGAAACCCCATCTCTACAAAAATATAAAAAAAAAGAAAAAAAAAAATTAGCTAGGCCTGATGGTGGACACCTGTAATTCTGGCTCCTCGGGAGGCTGAGGCAGGAGAATCTCTTGAACTCGGGAGGTGGAGGTTATGGTAAGCTACTGCACTCCAGCCTGGGCAAGAGCAAAACTCCATTTCAAAAAAAGAAAAACTAAAATAAAACACTGTAGCTGGAAGTCCAAGCTATAAAATAGAAAACACAAGAAGTGCTCTTAGTAAAGGGAGGCCGAAGCATCTAGAACTCCTGACTGACAGCACTCCCTTTGATGACATGTAAGACACACAGCAGGGAAACTATTGGTTTTGATTGTCTTGACCAACATGATCCAACAGAGCTTTCTGTGATAATGGAAATGGTCTGTATCTGTACTGTTCAACATGGTAGCCACTAGTAGCTACTGGGCATTTGGTGGTTAAGAATCTAATTTTTAAATTTTACTTAATTAACTGCAAATAACCACTTACTGCACAGTATTGTTCTATATTCTACTTTTGGATTACCCACTAAGTCCGGTATCTGAACAGCAGTCCATTGGCTATTTGCAAAGCTGTGCCTGATGGCAGTAGCCTATATTAATAAATAAGACAGCCTTAAGTACCCGGACCATGCCACTGTTAGGTTACTACTGATTTTTACATTAAACAAGCCTCTTTGAGGATCCATAGGAAAATTTCCTTCTAGTAGCAGTATAATTCTGCTGCTTCTGATCAACTGACTGCTTTCAGCATACAAATACTGAGTCTTTCGGCTGGCTACTTCCCTTTCACAACAGTGACCAAATTTGTAGTCCACCTTTAGAAAGTCATTGGAGCTTCATAGAAGCACAATCACAGAATATACTCACTCCTAAATGTGTTTTATTTCCTTTACCCTTATTTTTTGTCTCACTTAAGCCTATTTTTCATTAATTTTATCTTGCTTTACTATATGCATTTTAATAAGATGTTTTAAATACTCTTTGGTTTAAGGTAGGGCACATAGAAAAATGAATAAATGCCTTGTAAGAAAAAAATGACTTCTAGAAATTCAACAAACATTATTAGATGCATGCCAAGTGTGGGAATTTTATTAAGTATTACTATTACTTTTAGACAGAAAAGATGAGAAGTTCAACAGGTTAGGAAAAGAACATTTGAATTCAGTTTTGGACCAATCTGCTTTTTGAAAGCAGACATCTTCACATGGATGGAAAATAAGCCAGGACTCAAGCCTTTAGGCAGAACATTTAAGTAGCATTTACTGTGTGCCAGGTACTATTCTGAATGATCTGCATATTTATTAAAACTCTAATCTTCACAACAACTCTATGAAGTAGTATTATTATCTCCATATTACAGGTAAGGAAAGCCACATAGCCCCAAAGTCACATCACTAATAAACAGAGCTAGGCTTCAATCCAGGTAGAGCTGCTATATATAACCATTATATCATTCTGTTTAAGAACGCTGTGCTAAGAAAAAGGGGCCCTGGGTTTTTGGTCCTGGCTCTGCTACTAATAACAATCCTGACTCCAAAACCTAACAAACCATCTTCCGAGCTATTTCTGATTCTGTAAAATAAGAATATTGTACTAGAATGTTTATGGTCCAATCTAGCTTTGAAACTTTATGGTTCTATAGACAAAGTCTGTCTTTATGTTCCTTTGCTTTGGCTTCATTTTTATGTATTCGCCTTTTGTTTTTTCCTATCATCTTTTTTTCTTTTTTTTTGGAGACAGGGTCTTGCTCTGTTGGCCAGGCTGGAGTGTGGTGGAGTGATGATGCCTCGACCTCCTGAGCTCACGCGATCCTCCCACCTCTGCCTCCTGAGTAGCTGCCACCATGTCTGACTAGTTTGTTTAATTTTTATTTGTGTAGAGGACAGGGTCTTGCTCTGTTGTCCAGGCTGGTTTCCAACTCCTGGTCTCAAAGTGATTCTTCCACCTTGGCCCCCCCACGTACTTGTCAGTACATGGAAAGTACTGACATTCCATGTGTGAGCCACTGTGCCTGGCCCATCTTTTCCATTACATACTGAAAGATGTTTCTTGGAGATGTTTTCCTTTCTGAAATTCCTTTGTGATCTCTAATTACAACTATAGTTCCGAACCGTTCCCAATAGCAGGCTTCACTTATTATTAAACATTATAGGAAGAGTATATTATGTAAAATAAATTCCAGTATTAACTTTCAGTAATTATTCTAGATTCTCAATGTCAAACAACCTAAAACCAACTCTTGCCATAATTAAAAAGCTCCATTTTCCCTAGTGTGGTATCCTCATTTCCCTATAAAGCTTTGGAACACAAAGATCATCCTTTCAGAGAAAATAATGCTCCTAGTACCTGTAGAGGTTAATATCCGCAAATGACTTGCTGTTATTGATGGCAAATACACAGAGGAAGCCTTCGCCTGTCCTCATGTATTGGTCTCTCATGGCACTGTACTCTTCTTGTCCAGCTGTATCCAGTATGTCCAACAGACAGGTTTCACCATCTATTACCACCTGTTTTCTGTAAGAATCCTGGGGGTGTGGAGAGTAAGGGGGCGGGAGGGGAAGGAGGTTCAATATTTATTTAAAAGCCACAAGGAATGCAATGTATTTGCCAAGGTTAAATATGTTTCTAACTATTCAAGCCCATTTCTGCCTATCTGGTTTGTCCCTCAAATTGCTATTATATAATCACAAACAAAAAGTATCCCATGTCACCCTAGGTAAAACAACAACAACAACAACAAAACCATCAAATTCTATATGACTGAAGAAAAGAAATATAGTTACTCTGTTCCTGGAAAAGATTAAAAAAACAAGGTAACTCAAATGACAACTCTACTGCAGCCAGCAGGCTACAGATTAAGAACCTAGTGTATTTCACTAAGCAAGGAACTGGACTGTTTTATTTGTGCTGTTTAAGAAATCTAAACAAAACCTCTACCAATTAGAACCTGGCCCTATATACATTATTTGTGTTTATGACTAAATATACAAATACCTTTTGTTTCAGAGAAGGCTATAACACCAAATATTTTTTTTTCTCATGCAGAGGTACCTTTGGGAAGTATTCCTGGATCAAATTCTTAAAGGTTGCAAACAAAGTATAGTTATAATTAATCTCAGGAAGACAGACATGAATAGATCATATAAAAAAAATTTTCATTTTGGTTTTAAGGCAACAGGCCTTTTATTTGTATTTTAATAATGTCATCACACTTGGAGAACTCTGGAGTATTAGAAGTGCTCTATACTGTTACCTGGGTGGTGGCCAAACGAGTACATAAAAATGCAAAAAGCACTGGGCTGTAGACCGAAGACTTACGTATTTTACTTATGTAAATTGCTCAATAAATAAAACAGAAAATACTTTTAAAAGTTATTAAAATATTAAATATTTAATATAAAATATTAAGGCGGTTAAGCCTGAAATAAAGATTTTGCCAAGGATTAGCAACCAATTTTTTTTTATAGTGGCTATATTAGAGTTAGTTTGCATCAATTAAACACTAGCAGCCAGATGGTAGGGGGGCCCAGTGTTAATTAAAATAATCTCTAAAGTTAGACATTTCTAAACTGAACAAAATGACAAAATCCTTTATTTAAACAGCCTTAGACGCCACTTACTGAAGACAATTTGTACCATGAACTCTCACAGTAACAAGAGAATACCTAGGTACTGTTACATAGTCCTTTACCATTCATATATAACTTAAACATATTATTTAATTTTCCATAACATCCCTGGGTGGTAGACAGGACAAGTTTATAGTAATTTAATACATGACTAAAATTAGGCTAAGAGAGATTCATTTGCTTAATAACACACAAGTAAATTAACTGGAAACAGAGACCCAAATCCTAGGTATAAAGACTAAAAATCTCAAGTTCTTGTGACTCCAATCATCTGGTCTCAGCTGCTTCAACTAGCTAATAAATAAAAATTGAAGAACACTCAGATCTCTGAATCCTTTATCTCCATCCTATTATCTCCTATACAGACAGTCTCGCTACTATGGCCTGTGTTTCTCATGTAATAGAGATGTCATATACGAAGAAACTCATGAATGAACTCAACACTGAATTTGCAATAGTTTACGTAACTCTTAAAAACTGAAAACGTTTTAGAAACTTCAGCAGCTAATAAAAATGAACTGTTCTCTATAAACACGGAAAGCTTATTGCATATCTGAATGCAGTACCCAAAACAACTTTTTACTTTCTCTCCTTTTATTCTTTTAATGAAGAATATGGGTAAAGATGATCCGATAAGTGAGGGACAGGGTCAGGTCAGCGGGCTACCACTGGGCCTCACCTCTATGGTGGGATCATATTCATCTACAAAGTGGTTCTGGATTAGCTGGATTGTCAGTGCGCTTTTCCCAACACCACCTGCTCCAACCACCACCAGTTTGTACTCAGTCATTTCACACCAGCAAGAACCTGTTGGAAACCAGCAATCAGGGTTAATTGACGAGCCACAGTCACAGTACTTTAAAGCTTTCTATAATCAATGGAAACAAAAACCTGAGCGTGACCTTCCATTTGGTTCTTAAAGTGATTCGGGAACACAAAAACACCAAACTAATTAACGTCGGCCTCACATTTCTGGAGTACAGTCTTCCAGCAACCCCCACCCTTGGCTATTTTTCAAGTCCTTGGGCCCCGCCCTCAGCCTAAGCTATGGAAATCCCCCTTCCTATTACTCCTGTAAGCCTTTTCAGCTCTAGCGGGCAGCCTACAGGCCGTAACTCCCTTTCATTCTCCCTTCGTCTCCAAAGATCTCCCCACGCAGGCACCAAATGGAAGGACCCCCGCCCAAGGCCTTTGTCTCCAGATGGTAGATTTTGCTCAATTCCTGGCATCAGCGAAACGCCTGAACATTCCACAACTCAAAGCCGAACACTATGCATGCGAGAACCTTACCTCAAGCTCTACTGCCTCTGCTTTGGACAGACTTAGGACCACAGCTAGGAAAAATGTTGGAGACCCCGGAACCGCCATGAACAGCCCCCACCAGGGAGCGGCACTTCCGGCCCCGCCCGCTACGTAATCAGTCGGCGCCCCAGGCGCCTGAGTCCCCGCCCTGGCCACGTGGGCCTCCGAACCAGGAGTCACGCGGCAGGCCGCACCCAGACCCGCCCCTCCCACACGGGACGTTTCAATAATGAAAGCGCTAGGTGCTAGTGTCTCAAAAATCAGTAAAACTTTATTCGCTTCCATTCTTTCGCCATTAACAGAAAACTGGAGAAAGCAAAAATGTTTTGTGTTTACAAAGATAAACGGCCTCTTTACCCAGAGATCAAAACCTCAAACGACAAGGGGGAAGATAAAAGAGCCCTCCCCCACATCCCCTGAGCTGACCCTTGTCTTCTTAGACAAAGCCTTCAGTCCACTGGCCAGGGACCCTGTATATGGCCAATTCAAGAAGAGGGCCAAGAAATCAGACCCATCTATTCCCGTGATATAAAGTTGAACAGAAGCTACACCAAGGGTCAAGTGTCTGTATTTCACAGGACACAGTAACCAGGCGGCTACTTATAAAAAAAACAAGATTCATTTCAGGCACAACTTTTTTATTTTTTTTTGTTTTGTTTTTAAATCAGTAAAAGAAACTGGGTCCTAGAAGCTGCAGTGATCTAAGCAGCAGCAAGTTTGTGCATTCATTTTTTTTTGTTTTTGTTTAAATATGTTTAAATTATCACACTGCTGGCACTCCTCATTTGCATGAAATTCTGCACCATACTTACTTATTGTAGTAAAGTTACCCCCCATCCCAGGAAAAAAAAATACTACTCTGGAAGATAATTTGCACTGAAATATAACCAAACTTCTTTAAGTGGATTGTGACAAGATTATAAATGATATGAAAAATAACATTTCAAAATTTGGCCATTAACTTTAAGAAATGGTTTGCCTATACAAATTTTTGTAATTTTTAAAAGATAATATATTCTACCCTCATATGGTCCTCAGAATTAAAGCATAATGAACAGGAAGGAAAAGGAAAAGAATGCAACTGAGTGCTAAGGCAGAACATCTTGCCAGAAGTAATTAATGAAGGTAGAGTATAAAATGAATATCAAGTGCAGAATTTCACAGGGCCAACAAGATATAACAGTCTATATTTTTCACTTACACAGGCGAAGTGGATTTTGCAATTAACAGTTGCGTTAAATGCACCAAATAAAGCTCCTAAAATTGATACTATAAGGCGCCACCTTAAGTTTTCCAGGCTGCAACTGTGCATTATTTTAAAATGGTTTTCTTAAATTTATTTATTTTTTAAACATAACACGAGGAAGGTGTTAAAACTGGTGTAATAGCTCAATAGAATAAGTATTCCAGATTTCGGGAGGGATGAAGAGGGAGATATTCAGAACCCTTCACCAGATTCCCCCCAACTTGATCATAGTGGATTAATGATGTGCTTTGTGGATGTGGTTAGTCAATGACACCAGCTTGACGGATCTTTCTTTCTGCACCAAACCCCTGTGGGAGGAAAAAAAATCCTGCAGTTAATGATTTTAGTACACAACAATCACGGTACATTCACTATTCCCAAATGAAACTACAAAAGCATTATTTTTAATCAACTTATGCACTACTAATTCTTTCCTCGAGAAAATCCATAGTAAGCCCTTCTGACCCATTACCTAAACTATCTTCAAAGTATCAAGAAAAGAAAATGGGCTTCTTACTGTAAGCAACCATTAGGTTAGGGGCTGAATCAATGTGTAGAAAGTCCTAAACTAGTTATAAGCAATATGGAAGTCTCCTTGCTTAAGTTTCCTGACCTATTATTTAAATAGAACCACATATTATATGTTGGTCTATCATTTGGCCTCCCCTACAAGCCTTGTATGGGCTCATACCATTGAATTATCTGGTCCCCTTGGCTGACGAAGAACCATTAGGCGAGGAGCACTGGCATCATCCAGGGTGATGTTCTTCAAACGATTGACCAACCGATCAGGTCGAGGAGCTGCAACAGCCTTGGGGCCCTCACTGTAATGAAGTCAAAAGATGAGAAGAAACCACACTTGGTGGGCAGATAGCAAGCACTTGCAAAGGAGTGTGTTTTCTATCTAACTGCCCAAACGACTCACTTTTAATGACAGGACTCTCGCCTCATCTACCTAGCTGGAAAGACAAGACAGACAAGTTTGTTTATATATTATTTTCCCCAACTCAATGTTCCAACTTAATAGGAATGGAAGGAATCATTTGCAGACCCTAGACTTGAATGGAATCGGACTGACCAGTTCCACAGATGCATTAAAAAACAAGGTAGCAGATGTGGTAGCTAACACCTGCAATCCCAGCACTTTGAGAGGGCAGGGCAGGAGGAACACCTGAGCTCAGAACTTTGACATCAGCCTGGGCAAAACAGAGGGACCATGTCTCTACAAAAAAATAAAATTGGGAGGGACCATGTCTCTACAAAAAATAAAATTGGCTGGGTGTGGTGGCGCATGCTTGTAGTCCCAGCTACTCGGGACGCTGACATGGGAAAATTGTTCAGGCCCAGGGAGTTGAGGTTGCAATGAGTTGTGATGGTGCCACTGCACTCCAGCCTGGTTAACAGAGTGAGACTGTGTCTGGAGTGGGCGGTGGGGGGTGGGGGGGTGATGAAGCAAAGTGGCATTATGAGTCAGGATGGTTAAACTATTAGAATTTTAAGCACCATATAACCAGAAATGACTTAATGGAAGAAAAGGAATTTGGAAAAAAATTTTAAAAACATGTACTACAAAATCTTTTTATATTAGACTAGAAGTAGGAAGTATCAAGAAATAAAAAATGGCAGAAGAGAGGATAAAACAAGGCAAAGAAAAGTAAAGTAATGTGACGAACAGAGACTACAGAAGTCGAGATACTCCAGGGTAGTTACTAATCAAACCACAATAACAAAACTCACCAGACTCGCCAAACATTACAGGCGCTGCACTTGCCAGTGCGCTGATTAAGAATCACTGAGAACTCCACCTCATCTCCTGCCTGTAGCTCAATGCCATCCTGAACTTCTTTCACATGGAAAAAGAGCTTCTTGCTATCTCCTACTTCATAGTTAATAAAGCCAAACTGAAAAAAAAAGAAAGGAAGTAGCTAAAAAAGAGAAGACATGCCACACTTCACTCTGAATGAGGCACAATGTTTGTCCCTATTATCTTAAGGATGTATAAAACATGGTATTAACGTTGATACTGCAATCCAGCTGCTTGTGGTAAAACTTGTCAGGGAAGAAATGTATCTTTGAAATCAGTGCCATTTATCATAAACTTGACCCAAACAAATAAAAGTTCCTTCATATATTATGAACTAAGCTTTTTGAATTAAGCAAACTCATCAGGAAGCTGTTACTTCCACATATACATTGGTTTGATCCCTTCTAGAATTAAGCTGGGTTATAGTATTCTATGAAGCAGCCATACAAAATGCTATATTCCCTGTACTGATGAAAAACATTGAGAACTCAAATTTCCCTGAGATCTCAGTAATAAGACTAAGCTTGTTTGCCCAAAGCTTGTTTTTTCAGTACTTGTCAACATGATTTCTGTGTTTATGCAAAAGAAGCTCAAAGCAAAAGTGTACAAACCCATATAGTTAGTCCTTCTATTCTGGAAATCTCACCCCAAACTTATTTTTCCCATTGTGTAATATCAGTTACTAACACCACTCTTACTTTCGCATTGCTAATACAGTCACTTTTTCTTTGTGTAGTTTTCTGTTTTTATTAAGCTACCTCAAATGACTGAAAAAAAAGCTAAAGTAGAAATAAAAATCAAATCAATGTTGATGATTTCCCCTTGGCTAAAAAAATTTCAACGTTTTGGTTACCAACTCATAGAAGGATCAAATTCAGATGCAGAGATGCTGGCACTTACCTGATCTTTCACACATTCCACTGTGGCCCTACGCAGGGGTGTGATGTTGTAAGCCATAGTTTGTGCATTTTGGCCCAGGACACACAATTGGAACTTGACACTCTCCCCTTTCTGCAGGCAATCCCCTTTGTTGGCCATCCCAACGATGCCAAATGGATAGACCTCACCTTTCATATTCCCTGTAGGAAAAAAACAGGTACAAAGTCTAAAAGCTATTATTTCACAACAGTCCTCTGCTGATGATCCTAGGAAGTTTACGTTACCTAAAAACAATATATATTTTTAATACTTGGAAGTTTCACCTTAAAGCTTAAATGAAATCCCAAATCTTAAATACTACCATGGAACCAAATGAGAACATAACAGCTCATCAGTAGTTTACTAGCTAATGAATAATTTTAAACTGGATTCATAAATTAAAAGAAAAATCATACTGTCATTTACAATCCCATTACCTAAGTTTTAAGCACTATGGGTTGCTCATGTCCACAAGAGTATCTTCTTCCCAAGTTCACAATATGAGCCAACCAGCCAAAAATATTTTTGTCCCATAATCAGCCAGTAAACTAGGCAGGCATAGGCAAAAACAATCTAGATAAATCTCTTTGACACTCCATCTCCTTTTTTTGTTCCAATTCTGGCTCCCTCAAACTAATAGGTTCCTTTTTCCAGATCAGAGATCAAAAAGCTTTTTCCTAAAGGGCCAAATAGTACATACTTTAGGTTTGTAAGTCATCCTGTCTAGCCAACTCTGCTGTTGTAGTGAGAAAGCAACTATAAACAAATGCTTGTGGCTGCGTTTCAAAGAAAACTATCACAAAAAAAGGCCACTATGTATGCTGAGCCCTGCCTCAAAGTATAAAGTTGCCTGGAGGCCAGTGCAGGCTACAGATAAAAACTATGCCAAAGAATTCAGCTGCCTAATTCAGCATCCAAGCAAATATGTTCAGTCAACAAAGGGAAAACATGAGGAAAAACAGGTGGGAACTGGAAGCTTCAGAAACACTTTTAAACATCCTCTTGATGATTACAAGTGAAGAATTTTTGTTGTTGTTAAGACAGGGTCTCGCTCTGTTGCCTAGGCTGGAGTGCAGTGTTGTAATCATGGCTCACTGTAGCCTTGACTTCCTGGGCTTAGGTAACCCTCCCACCTCAGCTCCCAAGTTGCTGGGACTACAGGCACGCACCACCATGACTGACTAATTTTTTTTTGTAGAACAGGGTTTTGTCATGTTGCCTAGGCTGGTCTCAAACTACTGGGCTCAAGTGATCTGCCCACCTTGGCTTCCCAAAGTGTTGGGTTTACAGGTGTGAGCTACCACACCTGGCCATTTTTTTTTTTTTTGAGATGCAGTCGTGCTGTATTGCCCAGGCTGGAATTCAGTGGCATGATCTCAGCTCACTGCAACTTCTGCCTCCTGGGTGCAACCTCCAGAGTAGATGGGAATCATAGACAACCACCACAATATCTGGCTAATGTTTTTATTTTTAGTAGAGATAGGGTTTTGCCATGTTGGCCAGGCTGGTCTCAAATTCCTGATCTCAGGTAATCCACCCACCTTGGCTTCCCAAACTGTTGGGATTACAGGCATGAGCTTCTGCGCCTGGCCTCAGCCATTTTTTTTTATTTTAAATACAGGAACCAAAAAATTTTGAGGAGATAATCTGAAGAGATCAAGTCATGAGGAAGAGTGGTTAGGGGAAGCTGGTCTGACCTCATGGAATAATAATTATTACCATTTATGAT